TTCTACGAACAACTTTTTGCAATCATTTGTATTTTCTCCTATTACTTCATGTATTCCTATAAGTCTTATGTTATTCTTCTTTGCATCATTTAGGAGTTGTTGGATTGATTTCTCATGATCCCTTACTGTTTTTACTCTTTTTTCATGGTCACTGACTGCCATCTTATCTTCTATACCTGACAGTCTATCTTCGCATTCTTCTATTCTGTGGTGTACACTTTCTATGGAGTATTGAATCTCCTGGATATCTGTTTGAATCTGTTTTATGGATTCCATTTCTTTCCTATGTTGGGTGTTTATTTTTTCCATTTCTTTCTTATGCTGGGCCTTCATGGCTTCTATCATGGTCCTGAGCTCATCTATTTTTTTGTCAGTTTCTGCTCTAGAGTCTCGAATCACCACTTCCATTTTGCTAACTACCTCTAGCGTTATCTGGGAAATTATTTCTGTTTTGAATTTTTCTAGAGCCTGATTGATCTGTTTTGTTACTTCCTGTGCTTTGAGTTCAGGGTGTCCTGGTGGTTCACTAACTGCCTTTTCATCCTCATTTGCCTACTGTTTGCCATTGGTGAACTGGAAGTCAGTCCTTGTGTCTTGCTTAAGTGTTTTCTCATTTTTATTTTTGTTGTCGGACTGTCCTTGGTGTAACCTCTGGATTATCACACAAATCTTCCTGATATAGTTGTGCCCTAGCTTCTGTGTCTCCAACGACCCTCAGACATTCTCATCTTCATAACGTCAGAGAAAACAGTTCATCAAATCAACCGCAATGCTTTATCCCAGCTGATACAATCAGCAACACATTAAGATCAAGCACAACTTGGACACTGACCACCTGTGGTAGTCACTAGTCTATCACCCTTAAATCATTTGAATTATGTTGAAATCAAGAAGCAGTCCAGAACATGTCTGCAGTGAACAAAATTTCAATATAGTGTATTTAACATTTAATGGCTCAGACCGAGTGAGGATGCAAGACCCCTGATCTCATTTAGCTGATGGCTGAACCCCATGATGCTGACTGACCTCGGGCTGCAAGGCCCAGATTGTGGCTCTCCTTCCTGCGGTGGATTGGGGCCCAGGCTACCTCTAACTCTGCCTTTTATTCATTCATTATATTGTTTTTTGGTCTGAACTTCATTGGTTTCTACTCTTATACTTTCCTTCCTTTTACTAGTTTGGGGTTTGCATTGTTCCTCTTTTCCTAGGGCTTTCTGGTTGCATAGTTAGGTTGATTATTAGCTCACTCAGGTTTTGTAATCTGGTCATTGAACACCTAGAACTTCTCTCTTAAGACTGCTTCCATCCTGTGCCATACATTTTGATATATTGTACTGGTAGTATATTTTAGATCTAGAAAATGATTTATTCATTCCTTGATTTCTTCTGTGACCCATTGATGATTCAATAGTTTACTTAAGAGAGTATTTAATCTGTCTATTTATGGTAATGAAATATTGAGGTCCCCTACTGTAATTGTGGGGGTTTTTAATTTTAACTTTTATATCTAGTAATGTTTGTTTTCTAAAGTTGAGCATGCTGGTGTTTGGTGCATATATGTACAATTGTTATCTCTTTTTGACAGGAAAAGTCTGAAAGCCATCTTCCCAAGACTTCTGACCTGTCCCCACATTCTCTTAACCTCATAACAATATGAATACCTCTAATTAACTGGACTACATTAATTCCTGTTTAAACTACAAATCACTCCAGACCAAGGGGTCCTTATCTTCAGATTAGAGAACCTTGGACAAATATGAAAAATTCCAGTGACCATAGTCTAGATCATTTGGTAAAATGTTTCTTTTACATGGCACACCATTGAATTTTGTTTCTTGATCCATGCTACCAATCTTTGTATTTTCATTGGGGAATCAGTCCATTACATGGAGAGTTATTGCTGAAAAGTATTGGCTTGTTTTGTCCTTGTATTATTTTCCTGTTGCAATCCTCCACCTTCCTGCTTAACCATTAAACCCCTCTCCATGTGGATATTCATTCCAAGAGACTTTTAGGCACTGATGGTTTGTCTCTTATGAGGATATATTTCAGAAAATTTTGGAGTGCTAGATCAGTAGACATGAATTCTTTGAGTGGTCTTTATCATGGAAATACCTTATATCTCCATCAACTTTGGAAGATAATTTTACAGGACATATCAGCCTAGGTTGAAAGTGGTTTTCTTGTAGAGCTTATAATACTTCACTCCAAGTCTTCCTGGCCTTGACAATATGTGTTGAAAAGTGCAGTAACATTTAAGGGTTTAACCTAAGAAGTGATTTGTTGATTTTATGACCACTTGATTCTGTTCTTATGTTAAAATTCCAGGATTTTGACTATGATGTGTCTCAGAGAGGTTATTTTCTGATCATGGCTATTTGGGGTTCTATATTCCCCTCTTTGTACATTCAATTATTTCCCCTTATGTGTAATGTTTTCTACTATTATTTAAGTAACTATGTACTTATACCATTTGTGCTTTTTTCTGATTTTTTTGCTAAATCTAATTAATCTTAGATTAGTCTTTTTTTATATTATCCAAGAGATGTAGGATCCATTTTCTTATTCTCTTAATGTTTAAGGTATCTGTCATGAATTAGTCACCCATAACAGCCCTGCCTTCTAGTTCTGACACCTACCAATGCTGATCAATTCCACTGCTCATACTTAGCATAGATTTTAATTTCCTGAATTTATATTTGTAACCTTTTTATGGAACCTAATTCTTTTTTATATTGGTAATTCATATTTTGCATAATTGTATTGAGCTTCTAGCAATCTGTTAGTGTCTTCTGTAGACGAGCTGCTGATTATCTTGTTTACATGGCCCATTATCTGTTTATTTATGTCTTCTGTGATCTTGCAAAGTGCCTTACTGATCTATTTTGTTGTCTCCTCTGTTAGATGTTTCAATAATTCAAGTGTGTGGTTTTTGGTTTTCTCTTCTTTGATGCCTCACGAATCAGCTTTAGGGGAGTTGGGAGATTTTGGATTTATTTTGTTGCCTTCTCTTCTTCTGTTTTTATTTTTTGTTTTTTATTATATTGAAGCTTGTGAGTTGATTATACTGGTAATCTTTGTTGCTGTTATGGAGACCTCTTTAGTTAATGTCTGCTTTTCAGTGATTCCATCTCAGTGTGACTATTGGCTTTGTCCTCTGTCACAGGATTCTTTCCTCCATTTGTCTTGGAGGAAAGTTTGCAACATATTTGGTAAAGTACCCATTTTTTGTGGTATCAGCCACAGTATTTTTAATGATGACCTCCAGGCACTCCAGATATTAGCATCCTGAGAATAACAGCACCAACTATACCACCTTATCCACAGTATCAAAAGCAGCAACAGTAGTAGCATTAAAGACAACCTGTATATTCACAAACCCTAAACTCCAATAATGTACTGTCCTTATCCTAGAAAAGAAAATTGTAATTATCATACAAACACTAACACAAACCAGATATTAACCTAGTTTTGATTCACTGTAAATATCTACTAAATTTGCCTGCCACAACAACAGAACAATTTTCGACAATAATAGCACAAAGTGAAGTAGCTATCGAGAGATTCATAATGCTTAATTGTTATACTAGTAAAAGTAGAGTGTCCTAGTTAATTTCTCGTTGATAAGGCAACCCCCCTCATACAAGTTAAGGAAAGATGATAGGTTTATTTAGCTCACAGTTTATAAAGGCTTCAGTCCATATTATTTAGCTCACAGTTTATAAAGGTTTCAGTCCATAATCTCTTGGCTCCAAGGCAGACAGTCTCTGCAGAAGGGAACAGTTCATGGAGGCGAGACAGTAGCAAAACAAGGAAGGTAGGACTACAGTTCTTTGTGCCTCTTTTATCTTACCCAGTCTACTTAGGGTGTGCACAATTCACACCCTTAATCCTAGTGCCCTTTGCCTAGTGTTGCACCATGAATCACTCCCAGAATCATACATTCTAGACCAGAATCATACCAGCCGCCCCTGAAAAAAATCCCTATGGACATCTAGACATAACGCTGTATATGGAGGAAGTGAGGAGCTAGAGAATGAAAAAGAGCAAAATGTGAAAAATCCATGAGATATGAGAGGGATGAGAGAAAAGTGAAATTGGGGATCCTATTGAGGAGTAAAAAGAAATTAATAACCTTAGAAAACTGTCATGGGAAAAAATGAACAAAAGGAGTAAAACACAGAGAAAAAAACAGGAAATGAAAGAGAAAGAAGACAGGATAAGATAGAAAGAGATAAAAGAGAATGAGGAAAAAAATGAGACAAAAATAGATTTTTTAAAAAGCCGTGTCCCTAACAAAACTGATGCATGAAGAATAAAGATTGAAAAATATGTTAAGTGATTAAGTCAGAGAAAAATTCTACTGTGTTTCTGAATGAGTGGCTGCCTTCCAAGATCTACAGCCATAGAATCCAGCCAGCCACTATTTTCTCCACCTAGTTTTTTACACCTATGGGTTTCTGAGGTGCCATCCCCGAAACAGAGGCTCTTTTATCTGTTCAACTTTGACTGTGGTTACTGCTCCAGCCTAGTGTGTCCTTGCTTACCTTGGTGGATGTAAAACCATCCTCTCTGCTGGAGGTAGCCCCAGGGTCTGGGGTTGTAATGGACTGTTGGCCTTGGTGCTCCCATCCCTTTTTGGGCATTGTCCTCATTCAAGTTCAGAATGGTCTGTTAATCTAATCATCTGCTGCACTAGGTAGGAGTTGATGGATGGTCACACTGTGTGTGGGTTGGTTATGGTCTGTTTGCCGTTGTGAGCAATGCCTATGCTCAGATCTGTGTGGTCTCGGATTTCTTAATTTTTCAAGCACTGAATGCTGGAGAATTTATTTTAAATATCAGCAGTAGGGGCAGGTGGCTAATAATAGTATTGCTGAAACTTGAGAAAATCAAAAGCATATAGTTTCTCCTTTCTAACTTTCTTTCAAGACTTTTAATATTGTATGGTGTCAGCCACAGATTCTCTGCATGAACCTTAATAAATTTCATCTTTCTAGCACCCAGACAAGACTACTTCCAGTTTTGATGAAGGAAACCTCATCCTTAGCACCTTGGACCTCTTTCTTGCTGGGACAGAGACGACATCCACAACACTGCGCTGGGGTCTGCTATACATGGCACTCTACCCAGAAGTCCAAGGTAAGCGTGCAGTAGATGCTCCTGACCAGGCCAAGTGGTGCTCCTGGAAAGCAGGACAGCTTGGCAGATGGGAAGGTGGACAGCACAGTCCTGAGACTGTGCTATCTCCTTGGGTGTGGGCTCCTGCTTTGAGTCTACTGTCAGGATTGTGACAGGTCCAGGTAGTACAAGTGCTGCAGCGACTTCCTGCCCTCAGTGAGCTCTGAGTCCAGGGGAAACAGTGAAGTCCACTGACATTGTCATAAATTCTATGAAACAGTGGCAGTCTCGGATGGAAATCCACTCATTGCCTTCCTTTTTCCCTACTGGACACTATCCACTGTCCTTAGTGTGGAGTGCAGTACCATCCAACGTGCTTCTTTTCTGCCTGACCCACCTCATCCCCACTATGGTGTATGGGGACTTCCCTAAAGTACATTTCATTCCCTTGTCACTATTCTTAGTTATGCCCCCAGCCTGACATCTTCTCTTCCCTCCATCCCAATTTTTTCCATATGATAAAATTATTTACCTCAAATCATCCATTACTCTTATGATTTCTATTCGTAATATTTTCTTATGCCAGAAATGACAACATAACTCAACGAATGTGCTTATCACACATTATTCTTATAACAACTCCACAAACTCTCATCTCTCCATGGCTGTTCTCATCATTTTTGATCTCTCAGCTTTCAGAATAGGTTGAACATGTGGTGGATGGAGACTCTCCTAAGGCAATTCTCCAAACTATGGATCATGGTGTAATAAAGAGGAATAAAACAAGTTTTGTGGATCAAGACTTTTTTTTCCTAATATAAACACAGAATAAATGGGATTGGAGTGCTTCCCATGTATATTGATACATTACTTTATATTGTCTCTTTCAAATATTGATATAAAATTCATGTTTTTATGTGTATTTATTAATGTATATGCATCTTGTATCGTGATGTAAAAGGTCTTACTACCTGAGAATTCTTTTTTTAAAAAAAGTTCAAACCTTCTGAGTTAGGATGGTGCATTAGGGTTCTCAAGGGGAACAGAATCAATAGATAATACAGGCATGATTATGCAAGAGATTTATTAGGTAAGCGTACAGGGTGAGATGCAGAAGAATTCACAATGACCCTCTGTATGCTGGAAAATTGGAGGATCCAGTATCTGTTCAACTCAAGAAGATGGAAACCTCTCAACAAGAGGGGTCAGTGATGCAAACCAGTCAAAGGTCACAGGCTTAGAACCTCAGTGTAGAGTCACAAAAGGAAGTGCGCATTGGAAGACTAAAGGAACTGGACAGCCATGTCCAAGGCAATGCCAAGACTTAAGCTCTTCCAAAATGGGACACTTCCTTCTTCTTTCCCCTTTCTCTTCTATCTATCCAGGATGGGTTGACCGCGCTGAGTTTGCTGCCCTATATGTCAGTCATGCATGGTCACATCTAGAAGTGCACTTTACTAATCTGCTAGGTGGTACTTACTTCAGTCAAGTTAATAGTTAATGATCACAGATGTAAACTGGGCTTCTGCAATAGAGGATCCAAAATAAGAATCAATCAAAATTATAGAAGTTTACACCTGTGTTCATAGCAGCACAATTGTCCATAGCTAAAAGGGAGAAGTAACCTAGATGTTCACCAACCATGAAGGAATAAACAAAATGTGGACTACACGTGGGATATAATAGTGTTCAATCTTAAAAAGGAATAAAATTCTGAGTGATGCTATAGCAAGAACATTGTTAATAAACAAATCACAAGAGCATAATTCCTGCATGATTACACTTATATGAGTTATTTAGAGTTGTCAAATTCACAGGAAATGAATGGACAATGGTAATAGCCATTAATAATCCATTGATGAATATAGAGTTTCACTTTTGCAAGATGAGAAATTTTAGAGATTGATTACAGAGTAATATGAATATATTTAAAGTTAACCATAGGTTAAAATGAATTGCATGGTACATTTTATGTTTATATATTTTACCCAACTAAAAATATGCTACCCCAATGAAATTTCTCTTTTAAAAATGGACAGTAAACAACTGTTACATGTTTATTTCTCTCTTGGATAAAAGATCTGTAAGCTGTGTAAAGCTCTTAGAATTCCAAAGACCTTACAACGGTTGCTCTGTTATGTCTAGAATGAGGCCTTCCTTCCACTCTCTGATAGCCTCAGAAGGAAGGCTGCCTTTCCGCATTAAGAGGCAAGAAGAAAAGGCAGTAAACACCTTCCCTCAGAAGGGCTTGTTCCAAGAATGAAACATCTATTCTGCTTACATTCCATCCATCAGAACTTACTGACGTGGCCCCACTTAGTCAAAAGAGAACATGGGAAATGTAGTTTTCAACAGGACAGCCAAGTATTCAGGTGAAATCCCTATTAGGGTATAAAGAGAAGAGAACACAATGGGTGGCAGGTAGTGGTTTCTATCATTGTTTTGGATCCTCGCCTAAATCAATTCATGTAAATCTCAAAGAATCCCTAAAATGAAGGCATATCTATCCTCATTAATAAGACAGGAAAATTGGGACTGAAAGGCCTTCCGTAGATTGCAGCAACAATGTTGCAAAGCAAGAGCTCAGTGTTCACTTTTGACTCATATATCTTTCTGATAAGTTAGAGTCTATAGATCTGCTCTGTCTGATAGTTTAATAATGTAGTGGTATTTGGAATGGGGGGCATTGAATGTGATTAGCTGTCCTGAGTGGGACCAGTTACTTAAAAGAAGAAAAGAGATTTCAGAGAGCTGCATACTTCTCTGCTGTCAGTGCTCAGCAAGGAGGTATAATCTATGAGTGACAATGTTGTCCTACCAGGGACCAAGTTGAAAATTTGATCTTGGATTCTTCAGGATCAGAACTCAGAAATAAAATTCTGTGGTTTGCAAGCCACTGCAGGGAACTTTATTATAGCAGCTTCATTAAGAACTTACTCTACTATGAGCTTAGCTATACTCAGCCTAGATAGTCAGTTCCTTAGGCCACCCAGGCTCAAGGAAATTTAGAACACTAGCAATTTTCTAAATAAGCCTTAAAATGGGGACGGTCCATTTTGTTGATCTTCAGACTGAAGGTAGTTAAAATCCATCAGGGAAGTTCTTATAGAACATGCTCATATGTGTATAAGAAATCATAAAATGTTAAGAAACACTAGACCCACCCACTCCCTTCTCTTCCAGAAAAAGTACACGCTGAGATTGACAGAGTGGTTGGCCGGGTGCATCACCCATGCTTGACCAACAGAGAGTCCATGCCCTATACCAATGCTGTCGTCCATGAGGTGCTGAGAATGGGCAACATCGTTCCTCTGAACGTTCCCAGGGAAGTGAGTGTTGATACCGCTTTGGGTGGATACCACCTGCCAAAGGTAAGCAGACCCTCTCAGGCTTTGTCTTCAAGCCCGTCTGTGACCTCATTCTGGGAAATTATGAAACGGGTTCCAGTCCTAAGGAATCACTTACATGGGCAGATTGTCTAAACGCCCAACATCCACAGCTTGGGATGAAAGCTTTATTTCCGCTCAAATTTGTAGAGGTTTCAATCCATGCGTAGGTGGCTCCAAGGCAGGTTCGAATGGCAAAGGCACATGTAGAGGAGGAGCAGCTCTTGGCATGGTGGGAAACAGGGAGAAATCAAGGGAGAAGGGAGGGAGGCACACCCATGGAGGTCATGCCCCCACCTCCCCTGAGGAGGCTCTGAAACCTGACAAAGATATTTTGGGAAACTCTGTGACAAAATCCTGTAGTTATAGAACATTAAATGAGAAGTGGCATTTGAGACACCCAGCTCTCCAGTCACTCTAATGCTGCTGTTTCTAACATAATTTCCCTGCTTGTATTACTTCAGATTCACTTACAGCCCCATGGTGGGCTGGTAGGTCTAAGAAAGGAAGCCAGTCCCAGCTATGCAGTATTAATTATTATAAAGGGGAGAGAAAGGAAAAAAAACATTTATTACACAACAGTCATGTGTAGTGGACTATTAGCTTATTTCAAAATGTCTGTTCTCAGAGTGTTTTGTTTCCGTTTTATAAATGAAGATGATACCCAGGAAAAAATGATTTTGCAGATATCATAACTAGAGTAGGACAATAGTTGAGATCCAGAACCAGCTCTATGCTAGTGATTTTCATTACATAATGCTCCTTCTCAGGACTTGCTTATATCTGACTGCACAATAACATCCCCTCAGTTTTTCTCCATTGGCCCATGTTGAATTTCCTGTCTTCATGAAGAGAAGACATCTCATGCTACCTGCTCTTACGATGTCCACACTCAGCTCCTCTGTGTCACTGCCATTTTCCATCCGTAAACACATTTAGGTGTCTCCCTGTGTTCCCTGGCCAACTTGCTCAGCCTGTGAGGATCTGTTCTAGTTTGTCTCAGTCCCTCTGAATAGGCTTTCCTCAGGGACACTTTCCAAAGGTGGAGCCGGGGAGCTTTCCCACTGAACACTGCCGGGTAGGGCCACTGCAGAGCCAGGAAGTCCTCCCCTTCTAACTGAGCATGTCCTGGAGTGAATGAGATGTGAACATGCCAGGTGTTGTTTGTATTGTTCTAACCATTCATCCACCTTCAGAGCACCAGGCCATCTCATTAGACTGCTTTACTACGAATTTTACTACATCAGGTTTAATATCCATCCTGGAAACTAAGAAATCTGATTGCACCTAGCACAGAAGCCATGGCTTTGACATCAGAGAAACCTAATACAGGGAGTGTCTCTATCTCTGCCCATTGCGTGACTTCAACTGCAGTGAAACCTGTCACAGATACAGTTGCTTCATCTCTAAAATGCAGTTAAACTCATCTCACAGGCTCTGCATGGAGGTAAGTGAGGTCTTACATGCAGAGCTTCATACTCACAATAGCAATTATTATTCTTCACTAAACAACAAATATGCCATAAGTATGTAAAACATTAGGGTCTCAAAAACAATCTGCAGCAGGATGGGGATGGAAGCACCTTCTTAGAAAGCATGAGAAGGACCAAAGGAAAACCCACGCTTGTGCTACGAAGATGCTCTCAGAATACTCCAGCAAGAGGGACACATAGGAGCCAGATTACCCGCCTAGGCGAGGCTTTTGAAGGAAGTGAGTTTGGAACTGACAGTTCAAGAATGGCAGGAGTTAGTTCATGAAAAAGCAAAAATAAAAACAAAAACAGAAACACATTTTCGCCTAATAAACAACATGGAAATCTATTCTGCTAGAACAACCAGTGGGAGGTCCCCCCTTAGTGGGAGCCCCAGTGTTACGGATTCTGTGTAGATGTCCCCCAAAGCTTCATGTGGTCACAGATGGTGTTTTGGAGAGTTGGCAGGATCTACCATGTGGGATGCTGGGATGAAGGCTGCCCCATCATGGGTGGGAGTGTTGCCCGCCCTAATGACGAGCACCTGCACAGAATGTAAGAGACAGAGACAATGATGCTGCCATCTCTTAGTGCTGTTTGTCTTTTACTGCCTCCTACCCACTCTGTGAGGACCCTCTGCCATGCCACCCTGCCTTCCATTCCATCAAGTAGGGAATGAAACCTCTACAAACTGTGAGCTACAACAAACCTTTGCTCTTTGAACATTGAGTGTCAGGTGTTTTGTCTCAGCAATAACAACAGTGACTAAGACAGAGGGCAACACAGAAGGGAGGACCCTGGTGAATAAGAGGATGGATTTATGACCTGGGAGTGTCAGGAAGCTATTCAAGAGTATCAAGTGAGTATGTGGGCGATGTGACACAGTTAAGTCACGTTCAAATCATGCTCAGCTCTCAGGATGTGGAACAGATGGAAAGGGCTGGCAGGGGCATGGTAGGAGGCATTACAGGAGTCTGGGAACACAAGGCAGCAATTCAAAGAGGAGCCTTTTGTGGGCACAGAATGGAGGAGACAGAATGAACTGATAGGTAAATCGTCCAGCATCGCTGGTGGGTCCGATGAGGCAGCATGAGGGAAAGGCTCACTGTCGCTCCTCCAGGGTTTCTGGCCCTGTGGCTGGAGGAACAGAGGTTGCTGATCCTGACCAGCTGTTAGTGCTACGAACCCTGCTGTGAGTAGGGAGAGCAGTTGATACTGCAGGGAAGAGTAAGAAGCAAAAGAGACTTCGTTGCTATGGTCACTGACATCTGCCTGCAGATTAAACTGATTCAACACTGAAAAATAGTCTAACCTCCTGGAACATTCCTGGCAGGCAGTGACAGTCTATCCTCCTGAGTGGTCCTGTGAACAAGCATAGGATCCTGGAGACTGAGATCCAGGGGTGGTGGAACTGAAGGGGTACAGGAGCTGAGGCCAGCAGCATCCCGCAGCTCGGGAGCCCAGGCTCCTGTCCCTGTGCCTGAGTGTGTTGCATGGGTCAAGCCTCACCTGACTCTCTTCTCCCTTTTCTAGGGGACCATGGTCATGACCAATTTGACTGCGCTGCACAGGGACCCCACAGAGTGGGCGACTCCAGACACATTCAACCCAGAGCATTTCCTGGAGAATGGACAGTTTAAGAAAAGGGAATCCTTTCTGCCTTTCTCATTGGGTGAGTTCTGATGACAAGGAGTGAGATCGCAGAAGTTCCTCCCTGCAGTCTTCCTTCTCCTCTCTGTAGTCCTTTGCTTTGAATAAGATTCTTCCTCCTGTCTCGGCTCAGCACTACTCCATGTTGCTGGTGGCTGTGGTCCAGTGGACCTGGATTCCTCATTGGCTCAGAAAATCCCTGAGATTCGGCCATGCCCTTTCTTCTGATGGAGTTTTCATCTTTAGTTTGATCTCTTTTACACAGCAATAGGGATGAGGGACAGAGACCCATAACCTGACGCTTGCCCACAAAGAAGATTTTACATCTGCCATCTTCATAGAATGTTGCTGGTGGCTGTGGTCCAGTGGACCTGGATTCCTCATTGGCTCAGAAAATCCCTGAGATTCGGCCATGCCCTTTCTTCTGATGGAGTTTTCATCTTTAGTTTGATCTCTTTTACACAGCAATAGGGATGAGGGACAGAGACCCATAACCTGACGCTTGCCCACAAAGAAGATTTTACATCTGCCATCTTCATAGAGTGGTTAATTGTCACAGATTCTTCTGAACTTCACAAATTCAGCTCACACCAAAATAGAGATGATATTTAAACATGGAGAATGTGAGGTAGCAAGGGAAAGGGGCTACTTACCTTACGGGCATTACACAGTGACTTAAATACCATCAGCTTAACTAGATTGGGTTAGGCTTTATAAGAAATTCTTGAAGATGTCTTTTGGCCTCCATAAATATTAATTACTTTTCACAACTCAAGTTAGTAAATATTTATTTTATGCAGCCTGAACAGTGAAAAGGTTGATTCAGTGAAATTTATTTGTCTTTGTTTTATTTTCAGTCCAATGGCCTTTTGAAAATCTAACATCATAAAATCAATAGCAAATTATCTTATTGTATACCCTAGTGCAAAGATAGTGAACCTTTTAGAGACAAGTGCCAAAACTTCAAGCCAAGGCCTAGTGATTTATTGCAAACTGTTAACACTAGAAAAAACAGCTCATACATTCACATCCTTTGTCTTCAAGGGAATACAAAGAACATGCAGGCTAGAGATTGTCCACCACTGCCCTCGTGTAAATGGACAAGGTTCAAATTCCCGTCAGCATTTTGATACTGGAGGGAAGAGACTTTGTAGCCAGGGTCACTGACATCTGTTTGCAGATTAAACTGATTCTACACTGAAAAATAATCTAACCTCCCTGGAACATTCCCCACAGGCAATGCCAGTCTGGAGATAAGGCAAGCGAGGCATAACGAAACATGGGAATTATAATCATGATATTGCTGTGGATGGTATGGAGTCAGCGTCAATCAGTTTTACCAAAACCTAAAGTTTGTGTCTTCCTCACGCTGTCTTTTGAAAATAGCAGTGTGCTCCCCACAAACCTGCTGTGGAAGGCATGGGATTTGCTTATAATTAATTTACAGTAAAAGACAGATTGACGTTCTAAAGAAGCATCATTTTACTGCTGGTGAAAACGAGGCTCAGAGTGAAACGATCTGGGTGATCCTCCAGGGTTTCTGGCCATGTGGCTGGAGGAACAGAGGTTGCTGGCCCTGACCACCTGTTAGTGCTACTAACCCTGCTGTTGAGTGGGGAGACCACAGTCCATGATTTTTCGGTCTGATGTGCCGCACTGGATGTCTGGGCTGATTCTGATTGTATCCCGTCTCCCCACACACCACGTCACCTATGCACACCATAAAAAGTCACTTCTAACATGAAAGCTTGTCTCAGATGTAGGAATGCCTTGTAGGCTTCCTGTTCATAATATTATCATGTTTTTTCTCACCACACAAAGTTTCAGATGCATAATCCAATTATTATAACCATTCTTGTTCATGGCATTAGATCTGTGAGAAACTGATGCCGTAGGAATATGGCCCCTTGCTCATTCCACAAACGTGCTTCACCTTATAATTGCTGCACCTCTGCTGACAGGAATCTACATGGATTCCACACCTTTAAAAGAGGAAAGGATCCCCCTGTAAGCCATGTGATGCCCACCTGCATGTCATTTCTTCACATTTCGAGAGCCTCTTCTGCATAGCTGCCTCATGTGTCACCATGTTCAAAATTTTTTCCGTCTAAATTAGCTATAGCGTGAGGAGGACTTATAGGGATACACTCGTGCTTTGAAATTGGGAACTGTAGTACATTCTTTTGAAAAGAGACTTTGCAAACGGATTATCTCAGGCAGCATTTACCAGTGCATAACCACTAATGATTAGACAGGAAAAGGGGCAAGTGACTATTTGTCATCCTTTTTAAAGCAAATAATACATGCCATCTGATGGGGATCTTTTCCTGGTCACAGCACAAGAGTTGGAGAGAGAGATTTTTGACAAGTGAGAAAGATTTCCTTTCGTGAATAGTCTAATAATCCCAGTCACACAGTCGTCACTGATGAAGATAGTTCTTTAAACCTGTTTCTGGACTCTGCAGGTCCATTTCTGCAAAATATATTGATTTGTCTAACAGAATCTTGGGACAAGTGGTTTGGTATCCTTTTCACAAGTTGCTCACCCTACATACATGGGATAGGCACAGAATAAAGATAAAAACACTCTTGAATTAGGCACAGGGCAGTGGAAAACAACAGGGAGAAAGTCACAAAGCCGTGGCATACTTGCCAATTACACCAGTTACATTTACATTTACTGAGCACTTTTGCATGCATAATCTTAAGCTATTTTTATGACACCATCATCCCATCCCTAACATCCTGGGTTTGTGAGTCTGGGCCTTAGGATGATAGAGTTGAAGGACACTAGGGACTTGTGCTGCTCAGGGTGCTGAAGGAGGGCAGAGTAGGAGCCGATAAGATGCCAAATACACAGCAACGGAAAATGCATGCCAGCTCTCACATGCAACAGGACAATTAACACTCGCCTTGCATTAAACTTTTTCCTTTTTTATGAGCACATATTTTAATACAGACTAATGCGTTTCGTTTTATTTAGCAGGTTTGCACATTCACTTGATACACTTTAATCATTGCCCCCATCACCTCCACTTCTCATCTCTCCCCGTGGACTGAACACTTTTAAATGATCCACATGTTGATGTGCAGAGGTGGGTAGCATTTGATACAGGCGTTGAGACAGCTAAGGGGACAGAGGCAATGTGAACACAGAGATCCTTGGATCCCACTGCAGTCACCAATCAGACATCTGTGAGCTCAATGAAGGGAAAGCGTCTTCAGGAAGAGTGACCTTCAGGTCCCTGGGAAGTAACCTTGGCCACTATCATAACGCTGTACTGTACTGTGTGGCCTCCGAAATCAGTGATTTCTGAGTTCATGTAGAGTGGATGAGATTAGAGGGCTTCTTCAGTTTTTTTCCTGGTTATGATATCTCATTTCATGCAAGTTACTCTGCTTCTGTGCTTTTATGAGTCCCAAGACAGGTATTTTGAAGCATATGGTACTACAAAGGTTAATTATGATGTACTCAAGGTTCTTTAGTCTTTCCAACCTTCTTTCCAACACTGTCCCACCATGGTGGCCTCCAATACCCTCAACATTGAGTTTCTGTCCCTTTCCCCCAGTTCTCCATGCTCACATTGGAAGCAGAGGCCTTGAACAAGACAGAAAATGCAAAGAGGAAGGAACGGGCAGCTCCATCCGGAGGGCCGTGCTTGTCAGGGGGTCCACAGTGCAGGAGGGTAACAGGCATAGGGAAGTGGCTTGGATGTTAGGAGCCCAGTGGTGTCATTTACTTCTTTATACTTTGCTGTTTCCTTCTAAGGTTGAGGCACATCACATAATTTTGTTGTTGCTTCATTGACTGCTTCGTGGTTGGTTATTAAATGAGTTTTGAAATATTCAGACAAGATACCACTGTCTGAGTCAGCCCAGGCCTCCCCCTTCCATTAATCCGTACTCTGCTTCTTCACCCCACAACTAACCTGTAAATGCATTTGATCTTGTCATCCTGGATTTCCACTTTCCGTCCTTTGGTGAATTCAAGTGGTTGTCAGACACACAGAGAAAGCTGGATGTAAAGCACAAGGTCAGGATTTGTTGGAAGGAGTGGAGAATACCAATTTCTAGATGCAACAGTGCCACCTAGAAATACATTGTTTGTTTTTGTCCCACAGGAAAACGTGCATGCCTTGGAGAACAGCTGGCTAGGTCTGAGCTGTTTATTTTCTTCACTTCCCTTCTGCAAAAATTTACCTTCAAGCCCCCCAAGAATGAAAAGCTGAGCCTGAAGGTTAGGATGAGCCTGACACATGCTCCAGAGAGCTACAACATCTGTGCTATCCCCAGGGCATGATGCCTGAGAAGGGAGTGAAAGGCAAGAAAGAAGAAATGGCAGCTCTCTGAAGCCTCTGGTGCCCACACAGATGTGAGGGGACAGAATGGAGGTGGGGGAGGAAAGAAGCGAGGAATTGGGCTGAGAGGAAATTGGATCACCATCCGAGCTCTGCTATTTCCTTCAGAATCAATATAGGGCAATCATGTACGGATGATGTGATTTATTTTTTCATCCTGGAGATGGGAGGAATGGGGATTTTTCTCTCTCTAAATACAGTTCTGTGTAAGAATCAAAGGAAATAACAGAATAATGGACTTTAATTGATTTGTAAGCAATAAAGCACATGATAAAATTATAGTTACACTGTTCCTTTCACTTGCCTTCTTTTGCAGTCAAGTATCTGCATGTGATGTGTGGCAATTTCTCAGGTTCAAGTTTTACCAAACAGCCAACAAGAGTTAGAAGTGGGACCCGGGGTACAGACACAGAGCATGGCAAAATGCTCTCCCCTTTGGGAATGCTGCTCAGTGCTTGATCTTGTTTCTGCCTCAGAATGCACTTCTGGGAGGGCATCAGGGAAGGTTATGTTTCCCTTTATACAGGCAGTGAAAGCACCTGGTGTAAACACAGCTTTTTTTGTGGATATAAGGAAGCACTGCCTTGACCTGTGACCCTGTTCCACGTAGCACAGCTGACCAAGCCCGGGATCCAGGTTTACAGAACAAATGTGGAAACTTGTTTTGTTTTCAGAATGTATTCCTCAGTCTCAAAATGGCACAGCAATGAGTGCCGGCAACTCAGCTTCTCCGGGACAACATGTTTAAATCTGGAAAATAATAGCTCGGACAGGTATCAAATTGTGTGGAGGTTAACAGGGAACCAATAAAGAGCTGATAGAGAGGAAGACATAGGATTGAATGACACAGAAAAATAGATCACACTGCTGAGGAGAGACCATGCAGTGACCCTAACAGTGATTGCCTAGCTGCTAGATGGGAGGCGAAGTGAAATGAACATCATTTTGGTCACAAAGAACCAGAGAACTGCATTGGAACAGAAGGAAACATCAGCAGTTGGATCACAAGGAAGACAGGGTTCAACGCTTCCCGAGCAGCCTTATACAGACACCAGTTGACAAGTGACCTCGGTGCAACAGCCACAGCCACAATGGTGGAGAAAGAGGTCAGAGGGCGGCTGCTGTAGGGTGGGTTGAGTGGTCCTGGCTCTCAGAGCAGTTCCTTGGTGGCTTCACAATCAGGCAACAATGAATAAATGAATAAAGCCCAGGATGAAGACATTTCTGCCATATATGTTACCTAACCTGCTACCATGGACACTGCTCAGTGCTGGGAGGCTTGGTGCCATTCTTTCTCCTCTGCAGAGCGTTCTCGGACAGAAGGCTTCCTCTGGGAACCTTTCACACTCAGGGATTCCCTTATTCCTGCACAGTGCCTGTTCTGACCCCAAGTCAGGACTGAAATGATCATCCCTTGCACAGTTCTGTGAGATGCAGCCCTTCATGTGAGGGTAGAGTGTGCTGCCCGCCTGATGGTAAGTTCCTAAGACAGGTCCAGCGCTGCTCCTGCCAGAGAACCCGCGGGCCTGGGGACAGTGATGGGTAACCAGGCTCCACTGACTGTGGCACTCTCAGGCTAAGGGGGCCTGGAAATGAGGAGTCCAGCAGCCTGAGCCCCGGGTGTGTGCCAGAAAACGAATTTTATGATAAATGAATAAAGCACTGCTACCCAGCCTGTTCCAGGAAGGGTATGGGGAGCCCCAGGGGTACAGAGTCTCTATCCCCTGTCCAGGGTGCAGCAGAGGCCTGGCTCACAGACGGAACAGGAAGGCCAGGGAGGGAGGAGCTGCAGAGCAGAGGTGGGAGAGGTTTGGCACAAATTCAGGGGGCGGAGCTGCTGCTGGACATATTTACAGGGAGGAAGCGACAGTCTGGGACAGTCCTCTGTGCACTCCTCAGAAGACCCAAGGAAGGACCTCCACATGCTGGCTGTGGTGGGTTCCCTGTTGGCCGCCCTCTGGGGCGTGCTCCACCTCCGCACTCTCCTGCTGGGCGCTGTTGTCTTCCTGTTCTTTGCAGATTTCCTCAAAAGGAGGCGCCCAAAGAACTACCCTCCAGGACCCTGGAGAATACCTTTCTTGGGAAACATTTTTTACCTGGATTTTGAAAGGACTGATCTGGCGCTGAAGCGGGTAGGAGCAAGGAGGGAGGGTGGCTTTGTCCTCACCCCACCCTGGCCTACAGGACAGGGGACACTGGGGTGGTTCCCAGGCTGGCACCCTGCCAGAACCCTGCTTTCAGCTTCATCTTCCTTCTGCCTTGCTGGCCTCACCTGTCTGCCCTTTCTCCTGCTACAACACAGCTAAATGTTTCCTGTCTCAGTGTGTTAGTGATGTTTAGGTCATCTTGTCCTTTCTTAGTTGTTAAAAATTGAAACCGAAACAGCTTATTTGTCTGCTTTTGTTTTCTCACCTTTTAAAAAATGTGGAACTGTCCTTCCCAGAGGCTCCAGTCCAGGTACTGAAAACAGCTCTAGGGCCTCCTAAATACTCACCCTGCTCCAGGAGACCCCTCTCCCACACTTCCTGAGTCTTTGGCTCAGTCCCCTACCTGCAGCGCACTCACCAAAGTCATCCTCCAGCTCCCTTCCTCTCAGTGCCTCCCATGCACTGGGTCCTGATTCCTTCAGGAGCCACTGGAGGTCAATTCATCTGTGTCCCTCTTTTGCTACTAGGACAGGTGTGGCTGGAGAGGGCGCCTACTGCCACGAGACAGGGGTGATGAAACTGAGTCCTCACTCGTATCCGTGACTCAGTGATTGTTTTTTGATGAAAGTTTATTATTTTTATTATGTATAAGCCTGATGTTTCTGTATCTGTATGTAAAACAACCTGAGATAAATGGTATAATTAGGTTACAATTACATTATCATTCTTGCAGTGGGGAAACACTAATAGCAACAGCGTGTTAAGTGTTGGATCAGGATTTTGGGCTCATTTCTGTTCAGTCTCCATGGTAAATGTATATGTAAGGTTTCAGCTGGTGGCGTGTCCATTGTGCCCCTGAGGAAACTTGCCAAGAAAAGAGTCCCATGTGATTTGCCCCGATTATTCCAGTAGATGACGGAAAACAGTACGTTGAACTCAGCATTATTTGACTTGTAAACCCTTTCTGCATTTCCAAACTGCTATTTCAGGAAGTGAGTAGACAATAATTCACCCTACATGGCACAGTTAGAGGATATGATGCATAGACGTGTCTGCTCCAAGACCCCGTAAGGGTTGTCGGTGCCAGGCCCTGTACTGGACTGCACGTGACGAGATGGGTGGTGGAGACTCTGAAACCAAGTGAGAGTCCAGAGGTGGTGTCACTGTCCGTGGGCAACCTTGAGGGTGATCTTTTGTACAACGCCTGGAACTTGCCTGGATGTTAAAAGGAATGTCTGGCAATTGGCTAAATGGAGAAAGAAAATAAGAAATTTTACATGTGTGAAATGTCATGTGCTACAGTAAGGTGAGACCAAGGGGAGGAACCCAGCCAGTCTGCGTGGCAGGTGGCCAGCCTCACTGCTCTCCCACTCCCACTTCCTAAACATTTCCTACCATAGCCATGTGGCTGGTGATAGGAACACGTATTGAAACAAAAGGAAAATCTCATCAGAGCATAAAGGACGCGCATGGTACAGAAGTTGTACGAATTAAGGAGTAGCTTCCTCATGGAGGTGATTGTAACCCAGACCCCAATACACAAGGATGTGAACAGCAGTGAAAGATGATTCTCACCGACAGAGTGCTCGGACACAGCGTGCAGCGCAGGATAGGGAGGCTCTGTCCACACCCCCTGCAGACTCCAGCTCCTCCTGAGTTAATGCTTCTGTCTCACACCAGCATCGTCAGGTGGGGGTCGGGTCCCACGGGAAGGGGAAATGGAAATGGCTGTGTGACGGGGAAGCTCTCTTTAGAAACGGCTCACCAAGTAAAGGGGCTCCAGGTCCTCTGCTTCACGGAGAACTGAACAGGGAGAGCCAAAATGCCGGCAACACTTATGTGAAATGGGGCTGGGGGAGAAACTAACTCTGCACAGCAACCTTGTGCTGAGGAAAAGAGAAAAGCAAGAATAAATGTGTACCCTGGGAGTGTGGGAACACAAACGACTGTGAGGAGTCGTGATACTGGGCTCCTTGTATTTTCCCATCTCTTTTATGCTGTCTACATCTCCTGGGAACCCCCAAAAAGATCTTTTATAGGTTTTTTTTTCTTATGGGACCAGGGATTGAATTTGGGCTTACGAGGCAGGTAGAGGAACCAATGAGCTAAATCCCTAGGTCTCCCTATTGGGTCTTGAGAGGCACTGCTGTGTTATCCTGGGATCCTCCAAGCCCCTCTCCCCAGGTAGCCTAAGCCCTGCCCTGTCTCCTATCCCAGGTGGTGTTGAGAAAGCAGCGTTCATAAAGCTGTGACTCCCAAGATGCACACACCACACTTCTCAGGTTTTCGCCCACACCTGGAGAGACTGGAAAGTGTTTGTTGAAGTCACATGGCCAGCTGGTATGGAGGCAGCTCCATCACGCCACAGAACACAGGGAATAGACATGATTTTAGCTAGATACACATGATTTTCACTATATAAAAATGATTTTAACTATAAAAGTAGTAGATGCACATTTAGACAACGTTTGAGAATAGAATTTATAATTCAGCAAAGGTTGGAGAATATTATTTCACCTTCTGCACCACCACAATGCTTCTGTAGGACTTCGGTACTTAAGTTTCCACATTTGCATAGAATTAACATTAAAGTACAGTTTTAAGTTTTTTTAAATTCCACCCTCTAAAAAAATAAATGAACAACTCATACAAACAGGCAAGAAACATATTAAGTTGATTTTTAAAAATAGATCCTAGAAACTGAAAATGTTAACCCTAAAAAATATACAGAAATATCCTGAGCATTAAGATCTCACCAACACACACATGTACACCCAAATGAGCACAGACTTAATTCTCTGCTAATTCAGGGCAACCAGCCCTCAGCTAGTGCTAGTGCAAGTGTAAACTGGTATACTCTTTCTGCTTTCTCTTTTCGCATCTTCATTTAGCTGGTTCTTAAGTTTTCAACTTAAACTGTGTGAAATCTTTCTCCAGTTTCCTCCTGTGTCATCCTGGTTCAGGCTCTTGTCTCAGTAACCTTCACCTCCCATATTACGTTGTTCTGATCCGTCATTTCAGTGAACTTTTTTTTCAAACACTTAATGCTACAGTTATAATTTTTCATTCTACTAGTAAACGTTTCTTGTTACTTTTGTTTTCCTTTTAAACTACCATATCAATTATTTTGCT